GGACAGAGCAGTGGTGTGTCTCCTTGGCTAGTTGCTGCCTGCTCGTGGAGTCAATGGCTATAAGGCAATTCCTTCTGATAGCAGGGGGGAGATCTTTCTTCTGCAGTAATTTTGAAATTTTTGGTTGCACTCCTCCCCAACCCAGACAGGCTGGGTGGCCTCCTGGGGTGAGCTGGGGGTTGAGATAGTGCTTCCTCCCCAAATCTGCCCATCTGAGGCTGAAGCCCAAGCCTTGGCAGACCTCCTGAAACATGTTCATGACCCCACACCCCTGGTTGAGAAGCAGTGCTGTAGAAGATTAATATTAGACAATGCTGGTCAGTGTATAAAGTTTTTTTCCCCCCCTTACAGGGAGGTTTTGCCAAGTTTATAGAAGTCTGCATTTCAACACAGTTTCCTTGACTTCCAGTAGTGGCAAAACCCTGCAGGAATAAGTCTATCATCAATTCACCTGATACTTTAATTTGAACAGTAGATTCCATGCTGCCTTATTTTAACAGTTTAAGTCTTTATTTTACTTATGGTTTTTAATAGATCTCTTAAAAAGAAAAACCCTGATGGTGATAGTGGTTCAGAAATGCCACAACAAAAACAAAACAAACCCAAAACAATTAGCCTGATAATGCTAAACTGCTCAGAGAAAAATAAGTGTTGTGGACAATTGTGAAGTCTTAAGACTACAGTATTAATACCCCACCGAGAAGAAGTGGGTGCATCCCTGCCACTCAGTATTGTTGTTGGTTATTTGCAGACACCACTACATTGTAGACATTGACTTACACATAGTTATGACCTTGAAGCCTAGACAGTTTTTTTTTTTAAAAGCTTAGACTTTCAAATAGTTCTGTAGCAATTCGAAAATAACCTGTAGTTACATGACTTCATAATCACACCATACATGAGGCCCTATTTATGACAGATCCTTTCACCTCTGTCTTCCAAGCCATCCTGTGCTTTGAATAGAAAGAGGCTTATAGTTTCCAAACCTGGTCTGTTCCAAAGAAGGGAAATGACCTGCCACCAGCTAGCCATACAACTCTCAATCTTGTTCTCCAGAAAAAGCCTATAAGGTCTTTCACAAAAACATAAGGAGAATCCCCAGCAGCTCTTTCAAGCGTGTTATATTGTTTTCAGGCCTGACACTACAGCAGGGGTTTTCAAACTGGTTGTACCATCAGCAGTTGGGGGTCGCTGCAATCCCTAGTGTGTGGATGATGCCATTTTACTCTTCACAGCGTGACCTCTTATGTATGGTGCACGCGAGGTCACGATGCATGGAGAATACCATTTTGCTCTACAAAATGGCATCCTCCACACAGCGTGACCTTGCACACACCACACATACAAGGTGACACTGTGAAAAAGATGCCATTTTGTAGAGCAATATGACATCATCCATGTGGCATGACCTCACAGTATGGGCATCCAAGGTCATGTGTGGAGGGATGCCATTTTGCTCTTTTTAAAAATGGTGTCCTCCATGGTGTCTGGGGTCCTGGGAGGAATTAAAATGGGGTTACATAGCAAAAAGTTTGGGAACCCTTGTACAAGAAATGAAGGGAAGCCACTGAATGCATCCGATGAAGTGAGTTGTAGCTCACGAAAGCTTATGCTCAAATAAATTGGTTAGTCTCGAACGTGCCACAAGTCCTCCTTTTCTTTTTGCGGATCCAGACTAATACGGCTGCTACTCTGAAACCAATTAAAACTGAAACACTGGGAGAGCAGATTCAATTCCATCCAGTAGAGGGTAGTGCTACACTGGTATCATGCAGAATGTAATCAGACAGTAGAGCAGACAGATGTTAAAAACATCCAAGCAGAATAAAACAGAATGGTTGGGTTTAGAGATCTCATTTAAGCCTCCCAACCTTAACAGCAACTCAGACTGCAATCCTCGCCACACCTGTTACCCACATTCTCTTGTCCCAGTGAATAGAGAACCTTGAATTTACTAGTTAACATAAATGAAAAAGCTGATCGGGTTAAGGTTTTGTCCATTTGTGATTACATCCTATTTAAAATATGAGCATTTTTATTTCAAACTAGTATGATCAACTGAATCCATTTTCAGGTGTGTTACCTCCTCCTGACTGATGAACTGCTGCAGCACATACTCATAGGTCTGCATTTCCTTTATCAGCAAAATCTAGACTTTCTTTTCTTTTCTTCAGTACCCATTTATACAGCATGGTTCACTTTACAGACTACTTGCTTCACTTTTAAGACCATTCAAGAGAAGGATGGATCAGTAGTTAGGGGCAATACACTGAAATAGTTATACTGGTAAAACCCTAGTGTGGATCCAGAATCCAACAGATTGAGTTTACTCTCTGATGCAGCAGAATGTCTAAAAAGAGAGTGAATGTGTCTGCCCTAGAGAGTTTTGCTGCTTTAACTATAGTGGTATAGTCAGAGTTGCACACCCAACCCAGCGTGATACAGTTATATAGTATAAAAGTGCTTATACTAGTATAGCTTATTTCAGTTCAAGAAGGAGACTAAACTATATTGATGCGAGACTGGTATTCTGTGTCCAAACTAGAGCTTTTACAGTATAACTATTTCAGTTAAGAAAAACCCACATTCCTAGCTGACAATGTTATACCAGTAAAATTGAAGTGTAGTCAGGCTTTAGTAGAACTCAGACTCTGGTGGGTGGGCGTGGATGGTGGAAATGACAATATGGGAGAAGTGAAAGTTCTCCTGCTCAGTAAAAAAACAAAAACAAACAAACAAAACCACTCACAACCTTACAGAATACTAATTCTATGCAAAGCCTCATAAAGCACTAACGAGCCACTATCTGTTTATTACACAGAAGATAGAGGTCATAGCCAATTTTGGATTCAGGAACAGCATACCATCCGAGTTCAAGCAATATTTCAAATAAATTACTTTAATATAGCAAAAGTCAAGTTAGCAATTGTATAAGACTCCACAAACATTAACTCAATTTCAACGTAAATTAAAATCATTTTAACTACAGCTCAGACAAATGCTTATGTATTTTGTTGGAAGCAGGGGCACAACACATTTTGTTATCAAAACAAAGTGTTTTTCCCCCCCCATATCTCTCATTGTATAAAATAGAGGAATGGAGTTCCTATTTATTGCCTTGATTCAGCAAGATTCTTAAGTATGCACCTAACTTTTAAACACAAAAGTAATTCAATAATCCATGTTGAAGACAACTCAAGTACTTGAAGCTAGGCACTAGAGCGGAGTGAATTTTTTTCATCCAAAATTCTTTCTTCCCCAGTGCAGTGGGGCAGTTACCCCACTCCTAGAGAAGAAAAGCTAGGCTGACTTGGGGAGCAGCCATAACTGGGGCCATGCCCCAATCAGGCCACAGCTGGCCCTACAAACGGGCTGTGAGCGAGGAGCTAAGTGAGTCTCTCTCTAGTGATGGAAAGAGAAGGATCTAGCTGCCTGGGAGCAGGGTACCAGAGGTAGAGAAGTACTAGGGAAAGGCAAGAGGAGCTGGGGAGCTCCAGGCCTTGTTCAAGGCCTAAAGAGAGGTACTGGGCTGCAGGAAAAGGCAGCAGGTCCAAACCCCACTTGCTAGGGATGAGTGGTTCACAGACTGTAGTGTGCCCCAATGAGCGGGGGCTAGATGATGACTAGCAGTAGCCACTGAGGCAAGGTGGGGATAGAGGGTTGGGGGTTCCCCTGGGAGGGGAGACCCAGATTGTGGGTTACTGCTGGGGGCAGCATCCCAAGGTAAAGGGCACCAGCGTCTGGGAGGGACACGGGGCCAGCGGCAGGTGAGACACTGGCCAGGAGGAGGCGCTCTGTATGCTGGAGAGCTAATTCCCAAGACAACAAGTAGGAGGTGCTGCACCAGTGAGTCTCGACTTCGCTACACCCAGTTAAAATGTTTTGCTTGACCTGAATTTTTGGTGAGTTTGTGCTGACTTTACCAAAAATTGTTCCAACTGAGTTCTGTTTTTTCCATTCAAAAAGGCTTTCATTTCAAAATTTAATTTTTGTGTGTGGCTTTTTTAAAAAATTAAAAATGAACAATTATTTGGTTTTAAAGAATAGCCAGCAGGGTTCTCCCCCCCCCCCCCCCCAAAAAACCTATTTGCACAGCTCTACTAGGTGCAGCTCAAGTACCTGCCAAATTGTGGCCCTAATCCTGTAAACACTTGAGCATATGCTTTAACAATGAAGCATGTGAGTAGTCTCATTGAAGACAACAGCATTACTTATACAGTAACTCCTCCCTTAACCTTGTAGTTATGTTCCTGAAAAATGCGACTAAGTGAAACAATATTAAGCTAATCCAATTTCCCATAAGAATTAATATAAATGGGGGAGTTAGGTTCCAGGGAAACTTTTTTTGCCGTACAATACTATAGTTGAGAGGTGCCCCTGCCTTACCCCACACAGGCACTGCCCACTGGCACTGAGGACAATGAGGCAGGCAAGGAGGCTGAAGGTGCCGTAGGCTAGGAGAAGCGGGTTGTGCAGCGGCAGCTTCCCCTACTCTGCAAACACCAAGTTCGGGGGGCTCAACCCTAGGCCTGCCCACTCCACCCCTTCCCCCAAGCCCCCACCCTTAACCTGCCTCTTCTTCCCTCCCCTCCACACCCTTTACTCTGCATGCTGTGTCTTCACTCCTCCCCCCCTCCCCCCGAACGCTGCAAGCCAGCTATTGCCATGGGCAGGAGGTGGGGGGAGGAGGAGGAGGAAGGCACCGATCCACAGGGTCTGCTGGCAGGCGGTGTGGTGGGGTGGGGGAGGGGGGCATAGGGGAGCTGATGGGGAAGGGGGCTGCCAGCTGTGGACAAAGCAGGTAGCCAAACAACATTATAGCGAAGCATTGCACAACTGTAAATGAAGCATGTTCTGTAATTGCGCAGGGAAGTAAGATCGAAACGTCCTGTCGCTTAACGTTGTTAAGTGGGGAGTTACTGTACCCCAGAAGTTAAGTATGTGCATGACTGTTTTTAGGATCAAGCCTTACATTTTAGCCAAGTCACACTTGTACTCACCTCCAGAAGTGTAGTTCAAATCCTTCACATTTATCCTTGCATTTTAAGCATGGTGCACCAAATCCTTGTTCATGACCTAACCCCATCTGTTTAAAAGTAAAGTGAAAGCTTTTATGAAACTTAAAATTATTTTTCAAGAGATTATATTTTGCATCTCAGTTTCCATTTTTCCCTTACCTTTTATGATCGAGGTCTTAAGTGTCAAAGAACAAAAGTTTGAATAATCAAATGACAACTTATGGAGGATGACATTTTAGTGATTGAACCAAGAACAGAATCATAAAAGCTATTCATCTAGTTTTGAAAGGTAAATACAGAAAACATTGAAATTGTACATATGTTCAAATGAAGGATATAAGCTAGTCAAGAACTCCCTCAAGACATTTATATGCATTAACTTCAGTCAGAGGTCAGGACTAAAAGAATACAACATAACTAGGATAATGCAGGTTATTGCTTAGATGTTATTAGCCATTGGGTAGCTGAAAGTGTGGCATATCCCATCCTCAACAGTGTTGTAATGAGTGTAGCATATTCTGTTCTCAGTCATTACCATTGGCCCACCTTTATTGGCCCACAATAGAAACAGAATATATCTAGAGAAGGGCAATGAGAGTAAACAGTAGGGGAATGTTTTCATATGGAGAGAATAAAAGGGGCTTGTATTTAACTTGGAATGCAGAAGAACAGGAGAGAGTTTAATAAGCGGTATGATAAAGGCCAACAATTGAGTGATATTTGCTATTCACATAATACAGCAACATAGCAGTGAAATTAAAAGGTTGAATACATTTTTTCAGCTATCAAAAAAGTTAAAGGGTGTATCAGGGTAATTCATGGAATCACCAACATAGATTACTGCTAAGGAGTTTAAGATTCCAAAAAAGGACGAGACACTTGAAGGAACAGAATTCTATTTACACTAGCTAGAATGACAATGACCATCAATTCTTATCCTCGTACAGTGCAAAAAAACCCACCTTCTCCACCCACTAGAATGCATGTGTGTACACACAATTCAGATAGTCAGCAGTATATTTGATGGGGGAAGAAAGAAAGCAGTGCTGTCAAATACTACTATACCAGATTAGACTAAATTATTGGTTAGCTGTAACATGGTAATTCTTATGTCTCTAAAACAATGAAGCAAAGCAAATCTTTTTATAGTTTAGTCCAGGGTTTCTCAAACTTCATTGCACTGCAACCCCCTTCTGACAATAAAAATAACTACATGACCCCAGGAAGGGGGGACCAAAGCTTGAGCCCAGCTGCCCTGGGTGACTGGGCCAAAGCCCAAGCCCCAATGTCCTAGGTGGGGGGAGGGGCAAAGCAGAAGCCCAGGGCTGAAGCCCAGGGCTGAAGCCCTTGAGCTTTGGCTTCAGCCCTGGGCAGTGGGGTTCTGGCTCCGGCATTGGGCCCGGGTGGTGGGGCTCAGGCTTTGGCCCTGGGTCCAGCCAAGTCTGTGCCAGCCCTGGCGACCCCATTAAAATGGGATCACGACTCTCAGTTTGAGCACTGCTGGTTTAGTTAATAGTTCCAATTAATTACTCAGCAGCTTATGTTGCAGTGTGCCATCTTAGACAGAGACAGTCATTCTTACTGCAGTATTTGTGATGAGTAACATATCTGGAATTGAGAAATCTGCACTTGTTAGACTGATGAACAAGCCTTCCAGGAGGGAACTAAATAAACAAACTAGCTAGTGTCACAGGAAATGCCATTTCTGGCAGTTGAAAGATCAATCAAATGTCTTGTCACCTTATGACCCTTGAACTCTTCTGATCCGTGGTCTTTGGGCTTTTCCCATGCATTCATAGTATAGGAGAGGACATATTTTGCCCTCTACCATTAGCTACTGCCCCATAACTTAACATCCCTGTGCAAAGCTCTGGAGCTATTTTCCCTCCTATTTTTCCCAAAAACCTAGCATTTCAAAGGTGCATCCCTTTGATCATGGCTGCACCTTTGTCACCCTGAAGATTCAAGGTGATGGATCCTAGTTTGCACAGTCAGTTACCTCTTGCTGGATGTGCTAACGTGAACCCAGCTCAGCAAATGTTTAGAAGATGATGGATTAAGAGACAGGGCTTCTCTCAATCATATTCTACTCTATTAAATAAGAGTGTGACAAATTAACATCCAGCTGACTTGGCTAAAACAGGTCCCTGCAGGGGGCCTTCCAACTGAGGTTCAGGGATAAGACATGCTGATGGGGAAACTCACTGATGATGTTATTTAATGGGCAAATCCTAGCCCCTGTCTGGTGGGGAGGTAAGGTGACTCTACATCAGCCTAGCTTAAGTTTTAAATGGATTTCGCAAGCCAACCCGAGGGCAGGGAGATGTTTGGAAATACATGACTTTGCTGGGTGCCTTTGTATATTTCACAAAACCTTGGCTGCATTATGCATTTCTTTTATGGAAAATAAGATTGTTTGACAAAACCTATTAAAGAACAGAATCAGAAATTTGGTTGATAAAGGAAACTGTGTGGACTTAATATACCTAGACTTTTTGTAAGGCATTTGACTTAGTACTGCATGACATTCTGAATAAATTAGCACTATGCATTATTAATAAAGCATATGTTAAATTGATAACAAAGTGGCTAATGGATCTCAAAGCAAATAATTGGGAACCATCTAATCAGGGTGTTTCTAGTAGGGTAACAATCGCTGGGGTTACAATCTGCAGATGACAGATTGGTGGAATGATAAATAATTATTAGAACAGGGTAGTCATACAAAGCAATCTGGATCACTTGGGAAGATGGGCCCATTGAAACAGAAATATGAAAGTTAAACATCTAGGAACAAGGAATTAAGTTCATATCTACACAATGGGGGACTGCATTCTGGAAAGCAGTGACTTGGAAAAGGATTTAGGGGTTAGTGAACAAGCAACTCAATAGGAACTCCCAGTGCACAGCTGTGGCAACAAGCGTTAATAAGATCTTTGGATATATAACCTGGGGAGTAGTGAGGCAATTTTATGGATAAAAATATGGAAAGAGTTAGAAAGGGACAGCCTAGGATCCTCATGAACTAGTTACTTTAGAGCGCTTGAGTTGTTTGATACTTAACCCCGTCTCCATTTCTGCCCCTGCCCCACTACCCCCCCCAAGAGGGAATTCCAAAGTTTCTGTAAAGAGGTTAAGCCTGTAAATTCATATAGATTCACAGGTTCCAAGGCCAGAAGGGACTATTATGATCTACTCTAACCTCCTGTACAACACCGGCCATAGAATTTCCTCAAAATAGTTCCTAGAGCAGATACTTTAGAAAAAGATCCAATCTTGATTTAAAAATTGTCAGTGAGTAGCAAGTTGTTCCAATGGTTAATCACTTTCAATGTTAAAAATGTGTGCCTTATTTCCAGTCTGAATTGGTCTAGCTACAACTTCCATTCACGTTCAAAAATGCACTAGTCTCTACCCCACTATATGGTCATACTCAGTGCCTTTGTTGACAGTAGAACTACTCATTACATCTCCCAAAATAGTATTTAGCATCCATAAACAAAATTGTTGCAGAGTTTTGTCCTTCACATGTGTATTCTGCACTTGCCAGCATGTGTCAAGTAATATAGTCAAAGAATATTTAACAGATGTGTCTTTTGCTTCAGCAGTAAGGACTGACTATATACACAGAACTGTAGTCAATATTCGTTAGCTGACTAGAACAGACCACATTTGGTGCATTCAAACAGTCTCCAAATTGGAAAGTGAAGCTAATGAAATGCATTGCATTTTCTCCATTCCTCTTCTCAAATGGCATGCTTCTGAATAGCACTTTATGTTGGACCTGTGGTGCTGTTACTCTATGCCAGACTAGTCTGTCAGTGTATCTAAAAATATAACAAAGTGGACTGAATATGTGCATAAATAGAGAATGAGAGTTTGAAAAGAGGATGGAATCAATTTCTCCATAAATGGAATTATGGAAGTAATTGGATAGATAGGTCAAATAAAATGCTGCCAGAGGAAGGCTTCTTCATGTCAACTGCTGTCAAAGAAAATGTTTAAGAAAGCTATCTAAAAATATTTGGTATTTCAAACAAGATTGCTGATTTAGGGACAGGTTGGGTATGGAAGATAGTATAAATATAATGAACAACTGTTTTATGCTCCTTTCATGACTCATGGGCAGTGTTTTAAATGGTTACAGCTAAGCAAGTGCTACCAGAAGTAGATAAGGAACTGTTAAGAAAGTAGATAAGGCAGTGTTGTTTAATACTTCTCATAACATAAGAATTAGGCGTCACCAAATGAAATTAATAGGCAGCAGGTTTAAAACAAAAGTATTTCTTCACACAACACAGTCAACTTGTGGAACTCCTTGCCAGAGGATGTTGTGAAGGCCAAGACCATAACAGGGTTCAAAAAAGAACTAGATAAATTCATGGAGGATAGGTCCATCAATGGCTATTAGCCAGGATGGGCAGGAATGGTGTCCCTAGCCTCTGTTTGCCAGAAGCTGGGAATGAGTGACCGGGGATAGATCACTTGATTACCTGTTCTGTTAATTCCCTCTGGGGCACCTGGCACTGGCCACTGTCGGAAGACAGGATACTGGGCTAGATGGACCTTTGGCCTGACCCAGGAGGGCCATTCTTAATGTTCTTAAGAGACTACTTTACTCCATTCCAAGCTGAACCAACTGTCACAGCTGACAATCTATACATTTCAGAACTTTTAGCAACCCCAGTGGCTATACATAAGCACTTAATAGTTTGTTCATGTGTGTGATATTATAGCAGCCCTGAATTTCTACTATTCACCTGGATTATCAGGAATTTATAACTAGACCACAAATATTAGTCTGAGGCTGAAATTTGGCATAAAAGACATCTTCAGAGTTTCCTACCGCCTTTTTACCAGATATGATTTTAAATCAGGCAGACAGCATTTTTTAAGAGATTTTAGCACTTGCAAAAGGGCCACTACACTGGAAATAGAGGTGTGTTTTTTTTTGTTTTTGTTTGTTTGTTTTAAAAACACAGTTAAGAGTATGGACAGTGGACACTTCCTCACATTGTTTCCCCAGTATCTCAGCGTTGAGGTAGGTAGTCCCTCCATAACAAGCAAA